GGCATTTGGACACAATTGCATCGCAACCGACCGATCTCATCATGCACCTCCGGGAAGAAAGGTCTGGTCCGCAACACCGAGATGGTCATACCCCCGCAATGGGAGCATGAGTCATCCACGAAAGCCACCTCAGTGTGCTTCATGTCCAGACACGAGAAGCAGCAATCGTGACCATCACCCAGCGCCAGGTAACGACCGCACCCAGAAACACACGGATGCTACGACATCTTTAAATAGACGCGTCTTTAAAAATGTTCCACCCGTGAAGCTCTTTTAGATGGAATTTGCTCTTTTAGTGTGCTGAAGCGCACAGGGGAGATGGCCGTCTGCAACACACACAGGGGTAGTGCAGCCTGTTGTGTGCAACCCACTTGACTCGGGAAAACCACCGCCGCTGAAGCGCCGTCCACCAGCACGAGAGCCCACGAAGAGCGTGCTTGACACAATACACAATTTTACAGCCTAGGGTGAAGTCATTATGTACATTAACAACGATTTGGGACAAATATGTAATTTAATGTAAAACTGTGTGAATGGCGCTCTGTGGTGCGGCAGGATTTCTGTGGCTGAATCAACATATCAGTATCTTTCTCACGTCACAGCTTTAAATCTGCAACTTTGCTGGATAACAAATGCATTAAAGTGTCCAGCTGGATATAAACTAACGCAAATAGATGTTTAACAATCATGACATTAAGCATTTGCATCAGACTTGCGTGTGTTTTGTGTTTTGACATTGTTTTAACGGCTTGAGGTGCTGCTAATGTTCGCGTCCTCTCAGCCTTGAGAGAAAACGTACTGCTGTTCTTTCTCCACTAATGCAGCATACAGTCAACAAATTAATTACTTAGCAATGATATGATAACATGCACTACAGTATAATGTGTACAAACCGTTTCCTTGTCTGTTTTAAATCCGCACATCTGAAGTGTCCGCTCTGTGCAGCGCGCAGTGTCACGTGTCAAAACAAACAGCACATGCTGTCAGTGATTTCCACCTCTAGAGGCCGCTCTCGCGCTCGGACTGTATAATGACAGCGGAGCTTCTCAGCTGCTCCAGCAACGGACGCAACCTGGAAAAACTATCGGCATGGATTTTTGCAGATAGCCAATAGTTCCAGCAATCAACTAATCGGCAAATCCGATACATCGGTCGACTTCTAATGTTTAATGCACTTCATGTTGTTAATAACAACGAATGGAATATTTTTTCTTTCTCTCTGTAATTTTATATCAATATGGTACAAAATTATCATATTTAAATCAATGTGATAAACGAGTTAGGTCAAAAGTAATCCAAAAGTAGCCTGATTATATTACATAAAATGTGTAATGCAATAGATTACGTTACTAACTACAATTTTTGTCATGTAATTTGGAATCAGTTACGGATTACAATTTGTAAGTAATCTACCCAACTCTGTCTGTCTGTCTGAATCGTTGAGCGCTGTGTGTTTTTGTCGTTACAGTGATTTGGCTCCGCGTGATATTTCCGGTACCTCTGATCCGTTCACCAGAATCATCTACAACAACCTCAGCGCTGAGACATCGGTGAGATCATCTGTCTTCACCATACAGTTACCAGGGTTTCTCAAGCTACAAAACAGACAAAAACATAATTAAAGCACCATGATGTGGTTCATACAACTTGTGCATTACATTCAAAGCCTTTTGACGTCATGTGATCTCTTTATATGAGGAACAGACCCAAATCTATGTCACTATTCAACGAAAAGCTTTTCCTCCACTGAAGCTCATGTTTTTTACATGTTCAAAACATTCACAATACATGCCAGAACCGTTTGTGTGCAGTTTTTAGTTCCCTCCTTCTCCTTATATTGGAGACCCATAATTTGGAGGGGAAAAAAATCCAAAATCTTGTGATTTTTCGGATAAAAATGTGCTCAATGCTCCTTGTTTGCTGTGCTTGTAGGGCTGCTTTTGTCATTATATATCAATATGACTATAAAATAATAATAATAATAATAATCGTCATCACAATAATCATAACAATAAACATAATCATGATCATTATTTTATTATGATTATTATTACAAAATAAAATATAATAAATATTGTAATATTTCACTGAAAAATAAAAAATTAGCATTTAAGAAAAATGTAATAATAATAATAATAATTTAATTTTACAGTACAACTGTAAAATTACAATACTAATATTTATTACTTAATATCTTTTGTTGTGCTTGTTTATTGGGCTGCACAATTTGGCCCAACAAGTGTGTGATTATATATCAATATGACAAAAATCATAATAATAAAAATCATATTAATATTGTAATTTTACATTTGTACTGTAAAGTTATTATTATTATATTTTTCTTGAATACTCAATTTGTTTTACAGTGAAATATTACAATAGCAATAGTCAAAGCTTAAAGTTCTCCGGCACCGTGCCGGATGTCCGGCGTGTGGTGTTTGGCTGCGGGAGAAAAAAAGATAGTCGTCCTACATTTAAAAACACTTGTTGATATCACGTTCACGTTCATGAGTTCGCCTACCAATGTATGAGAGGAACACAGCTTTCACTCTCAACCAAACTAACATTACTAGCCAATCAGAAGTTTTTGCTCCTATAAACACGAGACGTGCATAATACTATCCAATTGCAGAGCTGATGAATGGAAAAGAAGCCTGGGTCTGGAGCGCGACACGTTGAAAAAGCTGCGAGGCGCAATGGTCAAAGATTTCCATCTAGCCTCATATTTACATAGAAAAGCTATTAAAAAAGCAGTGGAGCTTTGTAAACAGCTCAGAGTAATCATGTCATCTCTATAAGAACGATATGATTGCCAGAACAAATTTAACGGGATTTTTTAAAAGTTCACACTGTTCACACATGATCTCTTAATGGTAATTTACCAGTAAAGACTGTATGTGTGAAAGGGGCTAAACTCTTCCTCTGCATATGCAGTGAGTGTTGCTTAACATTCATCTGGGAAAACTCACTTGATTTGTAACGTAAATCATTTAAACCTATGCCAACACAGGAGAATACATCAGCATATTTCTAAATGTATTGTACATCGCGATTTCAAAATTAAAGTTTCCGATTTTGCATGTGGCCAAATATTAAAATTAAATGGATTTAAATGTCGTTGAAATACATGAAACATCACCAGGCCATTGGCGCCCACTGCAGGTATTTGTTATAATATATACATATTACATTATGTATTCAACAACGTTGTTCAATAAAACCATGTACTTGTTTTTGATACTTTATTTGAGGCCAATTATTATTGCCTCATCGTTACTTTATATATAAATATAGTCATATTAAAGCCTGTTTTTCCACTTAGTTCTATTTGTATTACTAAAAAATATCAGATTACTCACTTGTCAAAATAATCAGATTACTTGATTAGCAAAATAATTATTAGTTAAGCATAGGGATATGCCGGTATCAAATTTTCATGTTGCGATTAATTGCTAATGCTTTTATCACGGTATACGGTATTATCACGATATTGAAATTTTGTTTAAAAAAAGTGCTGTCATAATACAGTATAGCAGGTTTAATAACTGTTTTCATATAACAAAAATAACTGAACATTTGAATGCAATAAAGCAATACAGAAAAATGTATAAAGTTAAAAGTTTTACACAGATTAAAGTGCAAAAGAACTATAAAGACCGATAGGTATCACTTTACAATAAGACCTCATTAGTTAAGCTTAGTTAATGCATTAACATTCACAATCAGCAATAGCTACAGTTGCTACAGAAGTTATTCATCTTTGTTTAAAAAATACAAGTCTTAGTTCATGTTAGCTCATTAAATAACACAGCTGCAACTTTCGATTTTAACAACGTGTTATTAAATATTGGAATACCTACGATTAATGAATGTTGAGTAATGAATTTTTCATTGGCAGTTTATGTTAACTAATGAATTAACTAATGTTAACTAATGAAGCCCTAATGTAAAGTGTGACCGAACAATAAATAATCAAAACACTCATCTAGGGCATGTTGTAGTCCAGATTAAAATGTAAAAAA